GGCCTTTGGATCATCTAATCTCAAAGCTCAAAGGGTAACATCCAGTCCAGCTCTGCTGCAGGTGGTTGCAGATTTACTTAGGGTCTCAGCTCTGGCTCAGTGCATTCTGCTTGAAGATAGGTGGGTCTCACTTGGGCATGAAAGTAGAACTGAGACCACAAAGTTTGTGTAGAAGTCTCTAAAAACCACTCGCAGCACCCTGGCCTGTCTGTGGCACAGTCTGTCAAGGTTCAGAAGGTATTTCACAAATGCAGCCAGGACAGGTTTGTTATCTCTGTGTGGACATGGGAAACTGAGGCAGAGAGAGGACCAGTGGTTTGCCAAGGGTCACACAAGGTCACAGGCCTTGGCAGACCTGGGAAAGGTAGGAGGAGCACCTGCACCCTAAACCTCTGCTTTAGGCAAAGACCTGGCTTCTGCCAGCTCTCTCAGCAGCCTCTGTGTGTTTCCTGGGGCTCCCTGAGGATCTGGCTAAAGGTGTGTGAACAACCACATTACCTAATCCTGCTTTTTCATATCCAGGCTCAGTGACAGCAGGACTAGTCTGGCAAGCTTGATTTTAATTTTTTATTATTATTATTTTTTAAAGCAGATGTTAAGATTTAATATTTCTGGGGTTCAAAGGCAAACTGTGTAAATAATTTCTCTTTAGCTTCTGCTAGTACTAAAATTTACTGAAATCAGCTTTTTATGGTAAGTCAACCCTGTTACTCTTGAAAGGGTCTGTGATGTGAGCAGAGATATGAAAATTCCCAGGAAAGGGTATTGCAAGTGCTGTACTAACCTTCTGTAAGTTGGACTGTGTTATTTTAGAGGCACTTTGCCTGCCTATGCCCCGTTTCTCTGGGAATGCAAAACTCCAGCAACAGTCACAAAAGCCATTCACATTTGCAGCCTCCTTGTGAATTTTAATGAACAGGAAATGCCACTCATGCATTGAAATTCAACATCCAGAATATCTCTTGCTTTATTCCTTTGATGTTCCCTGTCCAATCCTGGACCCACATCCACATGTTCTCCTGAGACGCTCGGAGGAAAATCACCCTGGTTTATTTACAGTAGGAAAGCATTTTGTAGTATCTTTTATGCCAGAAGCATTCGAGTTGCTTTACAAGCAGTTCACACAGAGGTGCTGCTACATGGGTCTTTACAGAGGTGAGTGATTCTGGGGCTGTGCTCAGCCTGTTTGCAACCAGCAGCGATGCTAGGAGTTTGAGAGGGAAGAGGAAAGATTCCTGAAACAAATGAAAGCTCAGCATGGTAGGGGAAGTTCAGCTATTTAGTTCCCTTATCACATTGCTGGATATTGCTGGGACTTTTCTGTATTTCTCTAGGAGAAGCCTAGGAAGACATGGCCTGGCTCTGTGTCACCAGAAGTTTCTTGCATGGGATTTTAACAAGCAAAGAATCACCACTAATGGGCTCCTCTTTCCCACACCCTCAGTTTCTTGATTGGCAGAATAACGTCATCAAGAGGTGCTGATGAGATTGCCATGGAGAAATATCTTCAGCCTTAAATCATCCTATTTTTAGCTCTCTGTTCACTTTCTTCATTCAGTTATTTTCTTAACTTGCGTAGTTCCTGTAACCCCTGCTCTCCCTGTGATGTTACAGCTGCTCCTTTCCCCTGCACCCCCACCTGTGGTTGCCACCACCACCGGGTCACCCTCCCACTACAGGCTGACCTCTCAGGTCTCTTGGTGGGAGGCTCGTGTTGGGACTGCCCTAAGACCCCCTCTGGGAGGGTGGCAGCCTGCAAAACAGAAGTGGATTTAAAATTTCTGTCCTGGTGAAGCTCAGTCCCTACCCCCTAATGGCAGCAAACCCAGGCTGTGCTCCCTGGCACTGCTGCAGACAAGCCCCTCTCTTGTCTTACAGTTCCAGCAGGCAAGTCGCAGGCATGTGGCTCTCTTCTTTGTTTCCTACTGTAGTGTTCAATAGTCTGAATCAGGTATGATAGAGAAGGAAAATAGAGCTTGAGCTCTGTAAAGACAGGAGCCCCTTTATGCCACCTCGGAGCAGCCAGGGGCCCGGCGGGCACATCCCTGCGTGTCTCCTGCTCTGCCTCAGTGCTCCTTACAACTCTCCCATCCGCAGGCATCTCAAGTTCCTGAGCCGAAACGAGCCTGGACCTGGCGGGCCGTTAGCTGAATGTCACCACAAGGTGTCACAGTCTCCTCGCCGAGCTGCCCTGTCCTGCCCGGGCCCTGCTCCTCCTCTCCCGCTCCGGGATCCGTGTTCTCGGCCTGTTCTCTGTGTCCTGGGGAAAGGAAGGCACGGGTGGTTCTAGCCCGGTGACAGGTCATCAGTTCGGGGTACAAAACAGAAGATATCCTAGATTTAGGATAGTCCAGCCTGCAGAGATCAGTTCTGAGCTGAGCCAGAGGAAAAACCTGGCTTTGCCTTGGCACTCAAGTGCTTCTTGGTGCTGGCTGGAGTTCCTGGGCAAGCACAGCTCCCCTGCAGACTTCAGATCCTCTCTGCCAGGTGATGTAGGAGGCTCAGAAAACATCAGTTTGATGTGGACTTGAGGGTTTTTTCTTGTTCTTTATTACTAACATTTTTGTGTGGAGCAGAAAGCTCAGGCTGGCTGGAGTGCCAGGGGCTCACAGGTACAGGGAGAAGGAAGTTTAATCTCAGAATAGCAACTAAGGAGAACCTGGTGAGTTTTGCAGAACACAGGTATGGGCCTTCTGGGGTGCTCCTTTATAGTCTGAAAATTGAATTAAAGACCTAATTCATGGCCTGTGCCAGCAATGGCTGCGGATGCTCCAGAAAACGCCCTTTCTCTCACGCCTGCCTGGCTGGAGCAGCTTCCTGGCTGGAGCCAGAGCTTCCCGTTCCGTGCCTGTGCTCCAGGGCACCAGGAGGACCCTTTGCGCTCCCCCTGCTCCCTGCACAGCCCCGTGTGCTCTGACCCCAGGGGAGGACCGGCCTGACCTCCAGCCCTGTGCCCTCCCCAGCCCCGGGGAGCAGGGGAACATCCCGGCGGTTCCCAGGGGCAGGGCTGGGGCAGGGACAGCGGGTCCCTGTGTCACCTCTGCCTGCCAGGGGGAGCTCAGGGTGAGAGTGTCTGGCCAAGGGGCAGGTCTGGGGGTGCCAGGGAAGGCTCCTGTGAGCCATGAGCTCAGTGCCAGAGGGAGGACAGTGGTTGTGCACCTTTCCTGGGTGGCATCCTCCTTGGGAAACTCACCAGAGGAGCAAACACCACGGGCTGGTCCTTGCCTGCCAGGGGGTGGGTTTGGTGGCTGAGACCTTTGTGCCCTGCCCACCCCAGGGGACAGGCAAGTTGATCCCATTGGGACCACATGTCCTGGCTTGTTCACCTTGGAATTTCTCAGCAGTTTGGGAATCCTGCTCACATGGTAGGGTTTTCTTTACAGGTGATTTGCTTGCTATAGGAAATTGGCAAAGGTTCAACTTTGAAGTTTCATCTTCCTCTGCCAGGACAAGGAAATGAGCCTTGAAGCAGTTTGTGAACCCTGCACATCAGCTCACAGTTTCAGCAGGGAGAAGCAGCCTGCCAGAAGAGATGAACCTGCTCGTGGTTTGCTGGATCCTGCCATGTCCTTGGCTCCATGACTGAAGTCTGAAAGAGGAAAAGCTCCCCTTCTCTCTGAGGGAAATCCCAGCCTTGCTGCTTGCTGGTGGGTAGTGAGAGAAGTCAGCTGATTCCCTGACAAGGGATGGTGACACCCCATGCTCCATGTGATGCTTATTTCATCTTCGTCAGTCCATATGTCATTGACTCACTTTGTTTTCAGCTGTGTGTCAGGAAAACAAGCCTTCCCTGCCACGAAGGTAAGATCAGAAGTGCAAGGCCCAGGCAGTGCTGTGTGTCCTGGCTCTGTCCTGCAGTGGGGTTATTCCCTGGCCTTCACACACCAGGTTTGCCCACTCACTTCAGGAATTGCCAGCATTTCTGATCTGAATTGCCTTAAAACATTCTTTTTTTTTCTTTTTTCTTTTTTTTTGGGGGGGGCCTGGCTCCCTGGTGCCTTGGTTTCCTATCCTGTGGCTCCCAGCAGCTGCATCCAGGATCCTCTCTCAGAGCAATAAAGCATGGAGAATTTTCAAGCAAGACTGGGGCACCTCTTTGCCACTGGGTATGTAGATGCTTTAATCCGTCTCCTTCCCTCTGTCTCGACAGCTGTTGTATGGCCTTTTTCCACTGAAAAACCTCCTTTGCTCATCAAAATTCTCCCTCAAAGGATAACTGAGGCTGCTGTCAGGCAGGGGGGGCAGGGGTTGCCTGGCTGGGTTTAATCCTGGGAAGAGACTTCTTCTCCCCACCAGGTTTTCTGGTCTCTGGAGACCAGACTCCATATGTGAGGCCTGAGAAATTATATTCTTTCCCAAAAGTTTGTTTCCATTAGATATTGAAATAGCTTTATGGGACATTTCATCCTGCCTGCAGGGGCCAAATTCTTATCCCTGGAGGTTTCCCCTGGCACTGGAGCTTCAGTGTGAAACTGTTCTCTGTGATCAGTTCTGTATTTGTCAACCTTAAACCTGAAGATTTTTGTTTGGTCTCCTCTTAAGAGGCAGAGAGAGCAGAAACTCCCACTCAACTGCCTCTTATCCATTGAACATCTTGTAATTACAGAGCTGGTCTAACTGTTTCCACAGCAGCCTCCTCCAGCATCCTCTAAATAACCACTAATCAAGTCTTAGCCACTGTTAAGGAGTTGGCCCCTCTGAACGACTTTATTAGGATTTTTATAGAATAATACAGTCCTGCCCTGTGCTTGCATTAGAGGGGGAGCAGCCAGAGGATACTTGGCATTTGCTCTGTGAAGAAATGCTGTGAACTTCCCTATCCTGCATGCTTCCAGGGAAGATCTCAGTCCCAGCTACTCAGGTTAGCAGAGAAGTGGAGACCAGGGGCACTCAGAGAAGGACATTACAAAGACCCATGAGTGATCATGTCGAGAAAGCCCCCTAATTAGTGCCTTTCCAAACTTCCTCTGCTAACACCCAGGTACTTGTTCTTGCACAGGATGAGAGCCCGTGATTACTGTGAAGACTTTCTGCTCCCAAAGGTGCACAGGACCGTGTCAGACCTGTGGTTGGTTTACTCCAAGCCTGTCCCAGCAAACAGCAGAGAACAGGGCACCTTGTTCCTGCAGTGCTCCTGCGTGACAGCCGTGATAGGAGGCCTCTTCTACAACTGGATGTTTGCATCCCTGGAGTATTCCTGGCATTTCTCTGTTGCAATGGCCACCTCTTTCAGTCTGCTTCTTCTCCTGACCCTTTTCCTGGTGCATCCTGCCCGCTGTGTCTTCAGTATGATCATGCCTACGTTAGGCACCAAGCAAGGCCAGAAGCTTCTCTTGTCGACCTGCATCATGATAGCAGCAGTGAACTTGACACCCAACATCTTGAGCAACATTAAAACCATCCTGCAACTTATCAGTTGCATCTGCAAGAATTCCTCTGAGAGCCTTTTAAACTCAACTGCTCTGCTAGGGACAGCTTCCTGGGAGTTTGGGAGTGTGATCCAAGAAAACATTGATTCCATTAATATTCACAGGCCCATGAATGGTCATTTTCAGTTCTCACTGCTTACGAACAGCTCCTTGATTTACCAGCAATTGCACCTTGCTGGTGAGAAAATTGGGAGGGACTTTTTGGCTGTTGAGGTACTGGTCAAAGACTCTGTACGAGTAGGCAACAGGCTGGTTGCTGGCTTCTCCATGCTCTATCTCTGCTTTGAGTCCAGCTGGTATTTGAAAAACTACCTCACCAACCTCCGCTTTGACAATTTTTATGTCACCAAGAAGCTGGAGTCTTTAGCTGCGGAGAGAAAAGCATCTCATCTGCTGGTGGGCTCAACCAAAAACCTCCTTCGACCGACAGGCTTGAAGTTGTCCCGGGAAGAAGCGTTGCTGTGCCTTGTGCAATCCATGCTCCTCACCGTGGCCCTGCTGCTGCTGCTGCTGCTGGTGGCCATGGACCACCTGGCGTTCCGCGTGGCCGACACGGCGGTGGGAAGGGCTGCTCAGTTCTCTGCAGTGCCCGTCACTCTCAGCATCAAGTACAGTGTGAGTGCTGGGGGTCCCTCTGCTCCTCTGCCCACTGTGTGCCACGTCATGGGGGGGTGGTGGGGATTGCTTCAGCCTTAGTCACACCAGCATCACTTCCCTCCCCAGCAGCAGAACTGGGCAAGCCATGGGACAGGCTCTGGGGGGAAGGAGGAGAGGTACAAGCTCTGTTGCTCCTTCCAGTGCATCCTACAGCAGCATGTACCTGCTCCAAACTGCAGCCCCTTGGGAGCAGGGAGGGGAGCACAGCACGTGGCAGTCAGACATCCCTGTATCTCCAGGGCCCTGCCCTAGGCAGGGTGGAGGAATGGGTGTCCCTCTGGCACTGTCCTCCCACCACAGAGCAGGTGGGAGCTCAAAAGGATGGAAGGGGGGGATGTGAATATGTCTTAGGTGTCAGGATGTATTGTCTTATTGCTTTGGCAGCTCTTTAAAGAGGAAGCCCCTTGCTCCCTGGATTTGTTATCACCCTGTACAACCCTTTTCACAAACCTTCCCAGTTTCTATTTGTATGATATCCTTTATCTGCACTAGTTCTGGTTTAGTTTTTTAGCTTTTCTCTTCTGCCACAGAGCCTGCCCCCCTCCCCAGCCCCGGGGCTCCTTAGCACAGACACCTGCTTTACAGTAAAATAATTAGGGCTCAGAAAAACCCCCTAATGATCAGACAAGCAGCCACTAGTGCCACTGGATTCTGGATTCTGTCTTGCATTGTAAATTCCACACAGCCAATACCTGTTATGATCTCTGTAACAGCAGGGAAGGAGGACAGCCAGGACTGGGTCTCACCCTGCCAAGTGCTTGGTGCCTACACATCATGCTGTTATTCTCTCTCAGCCTGAAGTGTGTAGGCACCTGGATGTCCTTCTCTTAGTGCACCCAAACAAGCTGTGACAGTGGTTACACACCCCCAGGCTGATGCTTTTATAGTAACCAGTTGGTTTTCATTCATTTATACCCCATTGATCTTTCAACTCTCTTTATTTCAGGCTGAAATAAGTATCCTGCCCTCTACTTTGAAACTTTTCGGGCTTTCTTCTCATTTATCACCTTGGGACTTTGAAAGAAGTTACCACCATTATCTGAACTTCAGCTCTGCCCACTGCAGGATCAGCCCCCCGACACCTCCCAACCCCTCTGTGCTGCTTGTCCTGGGGCTGCTCTTCTGCATCCTCTATGCCACCACATTCCTGGGGACCTACGCCCGCCGCCTGTGCAGAAAGATTGCAGGCTCCTTCTTCGAGGGCTGGGAGGAGAAACGAGCACTTTACCTCTACAAGAAGCTGTCCAAGAAGCACAAGAAGGAGCAAAACTGTGTGAAAAAATAAGGGTACTTTGGGAAATGCAGGGGATGCCTTGAGAGCTGTGGTTAGTGGCTGGGGACTCTTCAAGGTCTTTTCCAACCTAAATGATTCTATCATTCCAATTTAGGCCAAGTTCCTGGAGGACCTCAGGAGTGGTGGACAGAAACTTGATGTTTGAGTCAGTGATCTTCAGGGAACAGGGATGCAGCAGGATCTGGGGGACTGGACTTGTCTGAACCAGGCTGGTTTTACATGTTGGGTTGTTTCAAACTCAGAAAATATGGTGGTGTATCCAAGGTGCAAAAATCCATCACTGGGGCAGCATCTGGGGTTGATTTTGGGAGAGAGACAAATCAGACACCTCTGTGAGGTCAAGGGCCAGAGGAGGGGGTGTGTGTGGGGGTAAATCAGGAGCAGGTTAAAAACAAAGCAACTTCACAGCTTCATTTCTTCAAAGCAGCTCTGTTATTTTCCTTCTTTCTCTCATTAGAGTCTTCATTAAGGCAATTATTTGACATAATGTGCCTCAATAAGATTAAATTACAGAAGTGAAGTGGCAGCTGCAGCCAGATGCACAGAATTCTCTCAGCTTCTGAGGTGCTTAAAACAAAGTAAGTCTAGATTTATTTGTTTTGAAGCATCCATCTAACAAAGACCTGGTGCATTCAGCTCCCCAGGTTTCTTCATTCCCTGCTGTTCTATTGATTAATCCAAACACCTTTCTACCTCTACAGCAAGTAGGGGGCCTTGTTATGTATTTCTGTAAAAAATGCCCCGTGCTCCACTGTCTGGGGAAAGCAAAGAGACTTCCACGTGCCCATTGAGTACCCAAAATGATTTGGAGCCAGAGGTTAAAGTAGCTGGGAGAAGAGGGGAGCCCCTTCAGCCAGCAGAGCACCCCAGCAGCAAGTTGCCTTCCTTCCACCCAGCACATCTTTAAAAAAAGCTTTTCCTTGAGGAGGCATTTTATTACTAAATTTGCAAGAGATGCACATTAACCTGTAAGAAATTATGATACTTCTTTTTTTTTTTTTTTTTTTAAATTGCCAGCAGCATGAGGTCTTTAGAGGAGATGGGAGCACAGGGAGGGGAGGCTCAAATGGTGAAGTGCTGGGACTGGCTTGGTTTTAGAGATGGGCCCTCCAGGCTCAGAATGGTGTTTGGAGCAAATGAGACCACAGAGATGGACTAAGAGGACTAAGTGTCCTCTGAATGTCCCATTGCATCCTCCAGACAGGTGCTGCCCAGCTCCAGGCAGGGCAGATGAGCAGCCTGTGAGGCAGCTCCTGAAATACCCATTTTCAGCCTCAGAAATCATATTTATTAGGATAAAAACTGACTCCAGTCCCGGGCAGTTATTTCCATCTTCTCTAGAACCCTCTTCAGCTCCCACTGAATTTTAACCACTCAAGACTAATTCTGGGAACTTTGCACTTCTCAATTGTTAAAATTCATCATCAGACAAGCCTTGATTAATATAATTAAAGCTGCTTGGAAGGATAATAACCAGCGCAAGGTACTGCCACTCTGCCCTGGCCCTGAGTCACAGCCTGCATAAACCCTTTGTGAGGCAGAGATGTGCTCCCACTTCCACTTTGCAGAAGAGACTAAGGATGCTGTTTTATGAAGTTCTTTGGTGGGTATCACAACAGTTTCAGCAGGTTCAGTGACAGGGAACCATGGGCAGCAGAGGCTTGTTTTCTTCCTGCATTTAGGGGTCAATTTCCCTGCCCTGGACACCTGCCCTAGGTGGGTTGTGCCCCAGGTGTCACCCCTCTCCTCAGCCCTGTAACCCTCACGTAGGGCTTTTGGCTTCAACGGCTAAATCAGCAAGGGAAGCCTTTGAGTTTGGAAGGTGAACACCTTGCAAAGTGCTGGTGAGGAGGGAAGGGTTATGGGGTTGCAAAAAATTATGGCTTTTGTCCAGGTGATGGTGTTTGTTACTTAGAAAGGAAGGAAATAAGTGTCGTGAAGTGTTACCCTGTGCTGCGAATTGTCAGCTCCTCAGTGTCAGAAGGTTGTGGGGGTTTTTTAAAATGTAGGAAGGAAAAGGTCACTTTGACACCCAGTATTGTTATTTTAGAGGTGAAGTTTTACTGATGTGGAAACACAGCATGTTGAATATGAATGCTGAATATCCCTGAGTCAATGCCCATGGAAAAATGTTTATACAGAGTGAGTTGGTGTCATCAAATACAGCCATACCTCATTCATAGTGAAGTGATGAGTCTGTTTTGAAGAAAAGGGATGTTGAAAGCTGGCTCTTTGCCATTGTGCCACTTAACACAGAGCCCAGATTTTCATCTGAGAAACTAAACCCAGGGAACTGTGACAAATGGGTCACTTGAGTGGGAGAGTTGGAGAAGAGCTCTGAGTCATTTCCAGCCTGTGGGACCAGTGAGGAGAGTCATGGAGAAACCACAGGAATGGAATTAAACTTGAAGGAGTGTGTGGCAGAGGTGAGACCTGGGGCAGCCTGCATGGGTGAGCAGAGTGAACCTGCCAGCATGGCTGGAAGTGGCTTAATCCCCGCAGTAATTTGTTTTTTTCACCTCCCTTGGGGTTGTCAGCAGGACCCCAGGAAGAGAAATAGGAAAGGAGGCCCTGAGGAGCAGAGGTTGTTCAGCAG